CTATATATTTTTCAGTTGTCCAATTAATTTCTTTGTATTTTTTTTAGTAGAGACGGGGTCTCGCTCTTGCTCAGGCTGGTTTCGAACACCTGAGCTGAAACAGTCCGCCCGCCTCGGCCTCCCAGGGTGCTAGGATTACAGGCGTGAGCCACCACACCTGACCAACACCCTTTTCTTGAGTGCAGTATTCTTTCATCACTCTTAGAAGAGCAAAACCTGTAAAGAAGGAGTGTAGTCTTCCCCATTCCCTTTCCTGGGGTGGCTGACACGCATTCACAGTGCAGGGCCCATGTCAGCACGTTTGCCCTGCTGTGACTCTCCTGAAAACCACACTCTTCTAGGCGTACATGGTGCTGCTCATGGCTCAGACCGGATAATCCTGCAGCTCCTGGCCCATGGTATGTCCTTCTGAAGCCTGCTTGTCCTTCTCAAAAGGTTCTTTATAAAAGCTTTCATTGACTGGATTATTGGCACACTTAAAGTCCTATCGTCAGTTGATAATGTGATCATGTTTCTGTTGCTGCGTTCGCCTTCTGTTCCATGGGGAATGACTTATTGCCAGTGAACTGGTTACCACACACTGCAGACCTGATGCCTAAATGAATGAGGGAGAGTTTAGGGGCCAGGCTTTAAGATAAGACCTTTTGAGCGGGCGCGGTGTCTCACGCCTGTAATCCTAGCACTCTGGGAGGCTGAGGCGGGCGGATTGTTTGAGCTCAGGAGTTCGAAACCAGCCTGAGCAAGAGCGAGACCCCATCTCTACTAAAAATAGAAAGAAATTAATCAGACAACTAAAAATACATAGAAAAAATGAGCCGGGCATGGTGGTGCATGTCTGTAGTCGCAGCTACTCGGGAGGCTGAGGCAGAAGGATCGCTCGAGCCCAGGAGTTTGAGGTTGCTGTGAGCTAGGATGACGCCACGGCACTCTAGCCCGGGCAACACAGTGAGACTCTGTCTCAAAAAAAAAAAAAAAAGATAAGACCTTTTTATTCCCTGGATGCCTACCTTGTTTAGATCTGTGCCGACAGCATGCACTGAGTCCCTCCCAGGTGTTGAGTATTGTGCCAGGTGTTAGGAATATATAGTCACTTAAGACGTGGTGGTGTCCTCCAGAGCTCACAGTCTGTCTTGTTGAAACTTTGACTCCTCTTCCCCTCAAAAGGTCTTGAACACAACATGACTTTCAGGGATCAGTTAGGGGGTCCAGTAGCATTAGGCGAATTGACAGTGACACTGTCCCTGTGTTGGACTGGCGTGGCAGGATCAGAACTAGGAATCCACTCATCTGCTATCCAGCCGCAGGCTCTGCTCGCTGAACCTTGGCCAGACTTTTTCTGACTTCATCTCGGAAGTGTCATCTCATCACTTTTGCCATATTCTCTTTGTTAGAAGAAGTCACTAGGTCCAGCCCACGAGGCAGGGGCGGGGTGTGGGAGGCTGTCCTGGAGGCTGCCTACCATGCTAGATAATTCTTTTTTTTTTTTTTCTATTTTGGGGGTGTATCACGGATCTACTTCAAAGACTGATGGCAAACATGATTCCAAGAGTCATAAGCTCCTGCTATGTCCACCAGCACTCATTTTGCCCACTGACTCAGCAGTTTTGTACCAGTTAGGCCTAATTTCCATTTTTAAATCTGAACAGGTGGAATTCTTTGAGCCTTTTTGGGACAGTGGAGAGCCCCGGGCTGGGGAGAAGGGAGCCCGAGGCTGGAGGGCCTGGATGCACCAGCAGGAGCGCGGTGGCTGGGTGGTGATCAACCCAGGTAAGGCACCTGTCATGAAGATGTGTGTGCCTTTTTCTTCGGGAATTTGTTTTTTACATCTTCATGATTATTTGTTTATCTGTATAAGCTATTAGTAGATTAAGAACATTATACAAACATCAAAATGTCAAAAACACGTTAAGTAGATGCCGTGGGAGAGCAGACTGTTTCTTCCCCTTAGAGGCTTTAAAGCAGTTGACTACTTATTGCTTCAGTACATGCTTTAAGGATTTGAAAGTTTCTGTAATTTTCCTTTTTCCTTTTATACATTGCTCCCGAAGAAGGAATCCTTTTGCTAATCTGCCCTACCCTCTATTCTTTTTTAGTGTGTATTTCGGACAGTCTCTTTGTTCTCCCGGCAATGTACAGACCAACAGATACTTTGAAAAATACTTGCTGTTTGAAGAATATTATAAAATAATTACTAGCATTTGTATGACTGTCACTTAATGACCCCCGAGTGCTTTCCAGATTTACACTGTTAACACTGAGCTGCCCAATAGAAATATAATGAAAGTCTCTTGTGTAATTTCCAGTTTTCCAGTAGTCACATTAAAAAAGTAAAAAGAAACAGATGATGCTAATTTTGATAACATATTTTATTTAACCTGGTGTATCAAAAC